CATCAGGTGAAAGAAAAAGGGCTTTCCTCAGATAATGTTTTAACTATCGCCCTGGCCCGGTGTGATTCAGTGGTTGGAGTATCCGCCGGTGCACGGAAGGGGCGCGGGTTCCATTTCGGTCAAGGGCACATACCCGGGTTGCAGATCCGATCCCCGCCTTGGTCGGGGGCGGTGGGGGAAGCAGCCAAAATTGATGTCTCTCTCTCTCTCTCTCTCTCTCTCTCTCTCTCTCTCTCTCTCACACACACACACACACACACATTGATGTTTCTCCCCCCTCCCTCCCTTCTACTCATCTCTAAAAATCAATGGAAAAAAGTATCCTCTGGTGAGGATTAACAAAAACAGAAACCACTCAAGATGCTTAACTGCAAGATGCTTCAAATCATTTCCATGTAGGTTGTTTTTGTATATACTTGATTTTTATTGATTTGAGAGAGAGAGAAGAGAGATCGAGATTTGTTGTGCCACTTATTTATGCATTCATTGGTTGATTTCTTGTATGTGCCCTGACCAGTGGTCTAATGTGCAACCTTAGTGTATGGGGACAACACTCTAATCAACTGAGCTACCTGGCCAGGGCTATGTATACTTGATTTTTAAAGGGAAATGTTTGAGATTCCTTTTTCTATATTAACCTAAGACAGTGATTCCCAAAGTGGGCGCTACCGCCCCCTGGTGGGCGCTGCAGCGATCCAGGGGGGGCGGTGATGGCCACAGGTGCATTTGTTTTAACTTTTTTTGTATTACCTTTCTATTCTGAGTTCAATAAATAGTTTCATAATTTCAAACTTCAATGTTTCTAATTTACACCTTTCTTTACTATATTTTACGAAAAAGGTAGAAACATTAATACATATATCTTTCTGTTTAATTGCTATTAAAATTTAAAAAAAATTAATTTCCAGGGGGCGCTGAGTAATATTTTTTCTGGAAAGGAGGTGGTAGGCCAAATAAGTTTGGGAACCACTGACCTAAGTGGATGGAGTCTAGCATGCTTATTACAAATATATTCTCATTTTATAGTTATTCAAAATGTCCAGTGATCTTCAGCATTTCTGAAAAATACTTTTACGTATTTGTCTTTCATATAAGTTAAGTTTCCAGTGCCTAATTTTATCACTTGCTGATTGTTAGAGAGCTGTTTGGGGGCCATGTCGCCATGCACCCTTGCTACTAAATAAAAAAAGAAACATTTAGTTGAGACTGTTTTCAGATATTTAGCTTTCATACTGTTTTACTTTTAATTTGGATTTGTTAGAGTCTTTGCAAAGGCTCTAATGTGGGAGCATGCCTGGTGTGTTAGAGGACCAGCATAGAGGCAGTTATGGCTGAAAGAGAATGAGAAAGGAGGCGGGAAGAGATGAGGCCAGAGAGATAATTGGAGGATTGTTCCTTATCTTCCTATGCATTGCCATTGCCTTCCACTAGGTTCTCATCACCTCATGCCCATATGTATTGACTCTCCATAATTGTTGGTAGGTGGGATCGTCACTAAACATTCATTTGTTTCTACAGATTATTTTCTTTCTGGAAATGATCTGTAATATTGTAACAATTTATTGTCAATGTGTACTTATTATGACACCACATATACGTAGTTTCCACTATGTAAGTGATAAAGAAACCTAAAATTTTCTTCTACAAATGCCCTTGACTGGAATCAAACCTGGGACCCTTCAGTCCACAGGCCAACACTCTTAGTTGTTTTTCATTAGGAAATCTGTCTTTTTATTCTTTGGCTTGTTACATATTTGGTTATGGCATGATCCATTTATGATGAACCATCTTAATAGTCTCTACTGATTATTTGATCATTAACATACTTCATCTACTTATTTCCTTGGTTTTATAATGCACACAGCACATTTTACCTTTAAACACTTACTTTTTCTCACTTGATTCGTTTTGCTCGGAACTGCTTGTCACCTTGGGTTAGGTCTAACTTCTTCAAAGATGTCAGAAGCAATTACAGTATAGGAGAGGTTGAGGTTTTAATAGTTCCTTCTTCAACCAATATTTATAGGCATTTTGATGTTCTTGACTCACACCTATTGGGATTTAGTATAGTTAGTGGTGTGAAACATCATTGCAGCCAGTAGCTAATAAAACTCATTAATTAAAGGTGTCTAGCTCTATTTTACCGTGTCTTTTTTTTTTTCTTTGTGCATTTTGAAAATTTTCACATTTAATTCTGTTCTAAAATATGAAATTGTATGACTTGTAATTAAGGGCATTGTACTTCTCATTTGCCCTTTAACTTTTGCATCATCTCATCTATAATAATAACTTTCTAATTTATTTCTTGGTCTCTAATTGGGAGGTTGCAAACTGGTGGCTTTGGATGTGTTTTCTTTGGCATGCATGTTGTTTGAAAACTTTTCAATTAGTTGCCAACATATAAAAACTTAGGATTTCCAGTTTTTTGAAAGATCTCTTTAAATTTCAAGGCCTATACTTTTCTATCTTATCAAAATATAATTGAAACATAATATATTTTTATATTTTCTCACCTTTGTATATGCATTCTCTCTGCTTAGAATTGCTTTGCTCCTCTTTTTCCATCTTGATCCTCTATTCTTTAACATACTAGGGGCCCAGTGCACAAATTCATGCCCCTTGAAAGGAACTGTGGGCCTCAAGGCTGCGGTAGGCACAGGGGTGGGTCTCGGCCCATTATCCTTGACCCCACCCAGCCCCTCCCGCGATGGCCCCCAGTCCCCTATCTGCAGGCAGCCCCACTCCTGCCGCCGCCGCTCCCACACGCTGATGGTGCCGGCCCTTCTCACACCCACTGATGGTGCAGAGCAATTGGGGCTGGCGCCAGCAGCGGGTGCAAGCGGCAGCTGCTGCCCCGATTGCCCCCCAGGAGCAAGGGGAGGTGGAGATGCCGTCAGGGGCGATCAGGGCCGGCAGCTGCCGCTCGCACCCACTGACGGTGTTGAGTAATCAGGACCAGCGCTAGGTGCTGGTAGCGGGTGTGAGTGGTAGCTCCAGCACTGGCAGCAGGTGCAAGCAGGGCCAGCGCTGGCAGTAGGTGTGAGCGCCAGGCAGGTGTGAGCACCGGGCAGGACCACGGCGCGGGAGCAAAGAATTTTCAGTAACCACCAGAGGCTTGCCCCATGACAGCAACTGGCGCCCTGCCTTGATCTGGTGCCCCGCTCACCTGCTCCACCATCCCGCTGCGGCCGACACCCACCATGTTCTGCTCTCTGCTGCCTGCTGTCAGTGCCCGCCATGTTCCACGGACGCCCCCTGGTGGTCAGCACGCACCACCTGGTGGTCATAGCGACTGGTTGTTCAGTTGTTCCACCATTCGGTTTATTTGCAAATTAGCCTTTTATTATATAGGATAGGATAGTGCTAAAACCCTCACCCCATAAAAAATCATTCCAGTTTCCTCAGGTAGGGTATTCTGCTCCCTCCACTGTGCTCTCATAACACATTTATTCGTACTTCTATTATAGCACTTGAGTTGTTATTGCTTTCTTGTGTACTTGTCTCTCTGTTAGACTGTGAGAGTATGTAAGTTAGGATCCATGTCTTCCTTTTATTTATAGTGCCTACAACATGAGATACATAATATTTGTAGGATTAGATTTTTTTCTCTTTTCTCATCTTTTATTATTTTGTTTCTTTCTTATAGATAATCTACTGGGAATCTCTTGGGTTGACAGTACATGGATCCCCATTTTGAACAGTGGAAGTGTCCTAGATTACTTTTCAGAAAGAAGTAATCCTTTTTACGACAGAACGTGTAATAATGAAGTGGTCAAAATGCAGAGACTAACATTAGAACACTTAAAGTAAGTTATTGTAAGAAAGTAGCATCTTGGCCAACTAGAGATTCTGCAGTGAACAGTTCTTTCAAGCTGTGGATCGTGAAATACAGAGTAAAAGTTTTGGAAGAACTGGAGTTTTGTTTGGGTTCATAAGTTTTGATTGGCAAAGGAATTTTTAGTAGTCATTTGTTGCTTAGGAAGTCTTTACTATAATAACTTTATATATTACTGTCAAATTAAACTATAGCTATGAGGTATGTAGATCTGATGAGCAATGCAACTGTTATTCTCAACCTAGTAACTATACTTATTATCTACTCTACATGTAATTTAGTGTCTTTAGTAGGTTTATAGTAGATTTATCTTTGTATGACGAAAAATTTTAGCCAAACTTATACAAAGCAAGATTCTTCAGACTTAGGACATTAAGAATTTATTACTGTTATAAAAGTTTCTGAAACAACTGTGTAATAAAGTGTGTTTTTTTAAAATCTGTCAGCAAACATTAGGGGGAATTCATGAAATTAAATTTCTGTGGTATTTTAAATAACTTTTGTTATGAAACAAATATTTATAACTATTAAGACAACTTATTGTTTTAAACATAATCTGCCAGATAAAAAATGCAATGGGGCAAGAATAAGGTTTTTGATATTTTCTAGTTGGGTAGAATATATAGTTGACATATACAGTCAAGACATGAATAGTCTTCACCATGTATACTTTTTAATTTTACATATATTTATAGATCTCCCAGGTCAAGAAGCATCATGGGCCGAAACCGGTTTGGCTCAGTGGATAGAGCGTCGGCCTGCGGACTGAAAGGTCCCAGGTTCGATTCCGGTCAAGGGCATGTACCTTGGTTGCGGGCACATCCCTAGTGGGAGATGTGCAGGAGGCAGCTGATCGATGTTTCTCTCTCATCGATGTTTCTAACTCTCTATCTCTCTCCCTTCCTCTCTGTAAAAAATCAATAAAATATATTTTAAAAAAAAAAGAAGCATCATGGTATTTTGGTTGCCTTTTTAAAAAAATACATATTTTTTTTATTGATTTCAGAGAGGAAGGGAGAGGGAGAGAGAGATAGAAACATCAGTGATGAGAGAGAACCATTGATCACCTGCTTTCTGCACACCCCACACTGGGGATTGAGTTTGCAACCTGGGCATGTGTCCTGACCGGGAATCAAATCATGACCTCCTGGTTCATAGGTCGACGCTCAACCACTGAGTCACACCGGCTGGGCTTGGTTGTCTTTTTTGAAACATGCTCTTCAGTATACTTTCATGATGAAAATTTAAGTTCATCATGAAATTTTATAAATAAATTTTGTTGTTTAAAAACCAAATCTTTACCTGTATTTGATTACCTTGGAAAATAGCCAATTTTATTAAACAGCCAGGTTTTAATATCAAACACAGGCAGTTTTAATTCTACTTACAGTGTTGTTATAATTTTATATAATAATTTGAATGTTCTACAGAATTGTTTATAGGGCACTCATAGATCTCTGGATGTCTGTGTTCTATTTTCATTCAGTCAGATGGTTGGAGTGGAATACATCCTTTCACATGCTCAAGAGCCCATTCTTTTTATCATCCGGAAGCAACAGCGGCAGTCCCCTACCCAAGGTAAAATGTGTAAATTTCAGGCATTATTTTTTTCTTAAAACACCATGATTTATTTACTTTCTAAGCTATCCATTTGGTTTTGTTTTTTTGGTTTGTTTGTTTGTTTTCTTGGGTTCTTTTTTGGGCATCCACAAGACAACATATATGTTTAGTACTTTACCAGGGGGACTCAGCAGACTCAGCATATAGTTAGTCATGCGTAAGTTTTGTTAGGGCAACACAGTAAGAATACCCAGCCAGATCAATAAGGAAAAAAGCCATATCAAGTGGGATCTGTAGGGATCTGTCCAGGTGTAAGCTTTCTATACTTTCCCCTCTGTGAGGGGCCACACCAAGTATACCCTCCAGCAGTGAAATGCAGCTCCATGTGTGTATGTCTGCTCAGGAAACTCCATTTGAGACTCTGAGTCCAGATTTTTAATGAGGGCTAATGATGTAGACCTCTTATGCCTGCTAAAATTCCAGAGCCTTAGAAGGAAATCATGTTTCCACTATAATCATATTGTTTGTACAAATTGTCTAGGCAGGCTGGTATGGTAGACATAGCTTTATCACTTAGGAAACATTTCAAAAGGAGTTCCACTAGTCACGTGCTTGGACACCAGGGGTCTCCCAGCATGCCCAGGGGCAGCTCTGCAAGCACTAATAGAGCAACTCGCTATATTGAAACCACGTCTTCCTGTGAGCACAGGTGTTGGGATTCCAACTGAACCTTGAGCATTCCAAGTAACTTTCTTTTCATCTCAGACCACTGGGTCTAATTCTGTTACAAAATACATGGTAAGTGCAGTTGTACCAAATTCTTAGAAGGTCAGTTGAAAATCCTCATTGACACATTCAACCACAAGTCTTACCTGGTTTATCTAAACTTGCCTTAGAAATCATACTGAAGAGTATAGAATGCAGATTTGATTTTGAATCACAGCGTTAGTCACTTCCAAAGGTGACCAGCTACATCCCCTAATTTTAAAATCCCTCATCAAGACATTTTGTAACAACCTTGGTATTGCTTCCAGAGAATAACTTGTTAAAGAAGTTCTAGAATCAAGAACTTAAATTTAGTTTAAAAATCTATAGTTTTTGTCCAGAGAAAAAGAGAACCTTAGTCCTGGCCAGTGTGACTAAGTGGGACATCATTCTGTACACTGATAGGTTGTAGGTTCAATTTCTCGTCAGGGCACATAGCTAGGTTGTGGGTTTGATCCTGGTTGGGACGTGTACAGGAGGCAACCAATTGATGTTTCTCCCTTCCCCTCTCTAAAATCAATGAAAATATCCTCGGGTGAGGATTTTATAAAAAAGAGAAACTTAGAACAAAAGCAAGACCACGGATAAGAGTTCCATGGTGAGAGGGTTCAAGGTATAGAAGCTGTACAAGGTGGCACCAGCCTCGCTAGCAGCTGTTTTATTCCTTAGGACTCAGGACAGGAGCACAGAGGCAAGCTCAGCACATCTGTTATCTTCACCCCAGGCTGTAAATCTCTTGCTGTAAGATCTTACTCCCCAAAGTGTGGTTGACTGACAGCAGCATTGGACCACTTGGGAACTTGTTAGAAATGCACTATGCCTACTGATTAAGAATCTGATTTTAACAGGATACTCAGGTGATTCACTGCTCTAGGGCAAGAGTTGACAAAATTTTTTCTGCGAAGGTCCACAGAGTAAATATTTTAGAGTGTGGGGCTCATGGTCTCTGTGACAACTACTCAACTAGCAGCTGTAGATAATAATGTAAATGAATGGGTGTGGCTGTTTTATAATATAACTTTACGAAAACAGGAAATCTTTTTAAGTATATTTTTTATTGATTTCAGAGAGGAAGAGAGGGAGGGAGAGAGAAATATCAGTGATGAGAGAAAATCACCAATCAGCTGCCTCCTGCATGCCAGGCCCTGCCTTAAGTTTTAATATGAGAAAATGTCAACTTTTAGTTCTTTTTATGGAAATCTATTTAGTAGTTTGTGTACATGGCTGTATTCATAAATGTTTTTTTCCCTTCTACTGCTTTAGTTATCCCACTGGCTGATTACTATATCATTGCTGGAGTGATCTACCAGGCACCAGACTTGGGATCAGTTATAAACTCTAGAGTGGTAAGTGTCTTCACATTATTTAAACACTAAAAACATTTACTTGAGCGACCTTGCTTTCAAGAATCAAACACAGCTCCTTGTGTAAGTCAGTATAAAGTGTTGGGTATTAAAATGTTTTGAGCATTATTAATGAGAAATTGGGAATTCATTTTCTTTCTACAAGCTTACTGCGGTGCATGGCATTCAGTCAGCTTTTGATGAAGCTATGTCATACTGTCGATATCATCCTTCCAAAGGGTATTGGTGGCACTTCAAAGATCATGAAGAGCAAGGTAGGTAGGACACCTAGACCTTCTGAAAACATTGTTTGGTATCTGAGAATTAATCTGTTTTCTTTAGGTAAACAGCTATTGATGATTTCTAGGTGTGTTTTACTTCCCCTTAGGAAGATTCTTCATAGGATTATGACATTGTCACAGCTACTATTTATATAAATAGATGTGGTAATAATAGCTTTCCCGTAGGAACAGATATACATTTCAATGTTAGGTAAATGGTAATCTTTGATAAGTAGATTCAAGTTTTTAAAATATTTGGAGCATGCAGAGAAAATCAATGATGAGGACTGAGTAATGGTGATATGTAGAGTCATCTTGAAATCGGGAACCTGAATCTTCTAGTCTTAAAACTAGGGGAGATGCTCTTAGAGCCTTATTCCCAGGTGACCAGTCTGTTTTTTTATTTTTCCATGTTATCACCTGTTGTGATGCCAGGTTCCCCAGTTTCTGTAGCTGTTAATCTGCTACTCATTCTACACCATATTTTACCAATAAGTACTAGAAGTGTGTCTATAGCAGAATACCTATAGTCTGTATTTCCTTCTCTGAGAAATAGCAATTCAGCATAAATTACTAATGGAAAAGTAGCCTTTAAATAGAATTCAGGCTTGTGTCATGAATGGTTCTCAGATACAGTTATATTTATTCTTAATAGTAGTTGCAGGTTGCAACATCAGATGTAGGAAAGTTTACATTAGTTAAATAAACTTCTCCTAAGAGCTCTCTGCCCCTACCCTAATGAAATGTTTCAAGTGAAACTTACCTGGAACCCTTCATTTAGAGACAGTCCCCCAATATATATCCCTCCCAAGGGAAATTCTATGTCATTAATTTCAGAATTTCTCTTGTAACTTCTTTCTTGTCTTGAGGACCTTCTGTTTGGTTTGTCCTGGGTTTTTTTTTTTAGTGATTTATAGTCTTCATAATTGAGAATGGTAACTTGGGGAATTTTTGAAAGTTGCATTTTTCATTTGCACTTATTAGGATTCATGGGAAAAGACCATTTAATACACTTAAAATATACACAGGATAATTTCAAACAAATGATCTGGATTATGATTTCGGTAATTATGGAAAACTTTAGCTTTAAAATTCTTTTTTCTATCCATGCTTATATACTAATTTTTTTTTTTCAATTACAATTTACATACAATACTATTTTGTATTAGTTTCAGGTGTATGCATAGTGGTTAGACAATCATATACTTGACAAAGTTAAAACTAAAGTATCTTTAAAAGACATCAGCTTTTTATTATTTATTTATTTATTTAAAAAATACTTTTATTGATTTTTAGAGAGAGAGGAAGGGAGAAAGAGAGAGAAACATCATGTGACAGGGAAATATCAATCCATTGATCAGCTGTCTCCTGCACGCCCATGTCAGGGATCGAGCCCGCAACCTGGGCATGTTCCTTGACCGGGAATCGAACCAGTGCACTGGTCAATGCTCCATCCAACTGAGCCACACCAGCCAGGGTGACATCAGCTTTTTAAATGCTAGAATGTTAATAACTTCATTTAAGAGGGAGAGTTAGAATACTTCTGTATATATGCTCAGTTTAACTTTTTTGGGAGATTATGTTTTAACTAGCAGCCATGAAAAATAATGAAGTCTGAGTATCTTCATGGTAGATAAAAATTTGTAAAATATAAAACACCAAACTGGGCAGTATTTTGATTTGGACTTCATATTTTAACAGAAAAAGTTAAACCTAAAACCAAAAGGAAAGAAGAACCAAGCTCTATTTTCCAGAGGCAACGTGTGGATGCTTTACTCCTAGACCTCAGACAAAAATTTCCACCCAAATTTGTGCAGGTAATTTATGCATTCATTGGCTGCTTCCTGTATGTGCCCTGATCGGGTATTGAACTCCAAACCTTGGCATGTCGGGATGACACTCTAATCAACTGTGCTTCCTGGTCAGAGCCTGGTATATTTATTTTTAATTGAGAACTGTTTCAGATGTGACCTTAAAGTATTGATTTTCCTCATTAGTTAAAAAATGATCTCTGAATCAAAGGAGAATTTTTCAAAGACTTAATGGAGAAAGTGGGTAAAGGGAATGGAAATAACACTGTTCTGTGCTCTTAAGTTTAATTTCTCATTGAATTTTAACAAACTATAAGGACTACATATAGACAATATTTTCATTCAAAAGGTTGCCGAAAATGTCATAGATAATAACAAAACTAGAATCTGAAACTCATGCTGTTTTACTCTTAAATGCTCACTTCCAGCCTGCTGTGACAAAATGGTTAAAACTTAAATGACAGAATGGTTAAAACTTTAGTAACAAAAAACAACCCACCAAAAAAACCCCACAGAACATTTGAGGCAAAAGCTTTGCCATGATAAATGGAGGAGGCAGGAGTAATAGTAGAGTTACATCATATTGGTGTTTAAGATATATGAATTCCATTAGTTCCAACAATAATAGAAAATCTATCTGCCATTCTACTAAATGAGCTTTTGAAGTGAAGTCAGCATGAGATGGAATATGTGAACATGTTATTCTCCTGGTTAGTCTCAGTTCTTAATGGATCCTTTCCAGGGCTGTGTATACACAAGGCCATATATACTGCTTTTCTTGTGGGGGGCCTAATTAAGAGATTTTTAAAGGGTCATTTTAGGTTAAATGAGATCTTTGACACCATGAGATGACTTTAGAATAGCTTCCCGTTTCCCCTTTCCTGACTTCACTCTGTGAGAGATGTGTGCTATTGAAATGGTGATGTGGTGGTGAAGGGAACAGAGGACACAGTTAGAGCTCAGGACAGGAAAGCCAGTTTAGAGAAATGTCACGATTACACTTGAAGATGAAACAGTATCTGATGAATAAATGAATTATAGCTGTAGGGTGATGTGTAACCACTGCAGAGTATAAGCGGTTAGGTGTGGTTGACCATTTATTCAGTGAGTACTGCATAGTATATAATGGGGGCGGGGTTGGGGAAAGAACACCTAGACTTGCACAGTACAGAAGCCACTAGGTACATGTGACTAATGAGCATTTGACACACAGCTAGTCCAAATTGAGTTGTGACATATGAAATGCCCATATACCCATTATCCTGCTTCAACAATTATCAGACATACACCCACCCATTTTAGTTTTATCTCTTCTTCCCCTACTTACTCCCAATTATTTTGAAGCCAGTTGATGACTGTATATCATTTCAGTGAGTTTTTTACATTTTTCTTTGAAAGGTTTAGCCATAGTCACACATAAAGTTGTCATTTTCCAGAACCCCTCCTTTCTTTTAACCTTCCAAGGGCCAAAAACCGACTCCCCAAAAGAAAGCATGTCTGACTCTTTTTATGTAATAGAAGTAGGAAAAAGATGGCTCTCTCTAGAACTGTTAATAATCCCTTTGCTCCTCCTACCTAAAACCTTTCTCCTCACATCTGGAGAAGAAAATAGATCCTTGGTCTACGTGAAGTCTCCTATGAACTCCTGTTTACCCATTGCATCTCCCAGAACCATTGGTAGCTCAGGACTTAGTCCTACTAATCCATGTATTGCACAGTTAAACTTCTAGATCCTAGGAATGTTGCCCATTAGGGGGATGCTCAAGAAAATATTGAAGAAGTCCTAAAACTTATTTTTCCATATTTTGAAGGTTACATGGATAATGATATGATGGCAGTTGAGGCCCTCAGAGCTTTCTATGATGAATGTCTTTTCAGTGCTGTTTTCAGAAGCTGCTAGAACACCATAGGATATTACTTCAGCTAGGTTTATCCCAAGGTCACATGATTAAATTTTATCAGAAAGGCGCCCCCATTCTATTTTCTCATCTCAAGCCACATCCTACTAGTTTGACAGTTTTCACTAGAAAAGATTAGACAATGTGGGTTGGATAGAGAATGACATTATTCCAATATCCAGGTAATATAGTTCAATATAGTGTCCAATATAGTTCATATGGTTCGATGCTAGTTGTATAAGAATATCCCTTCTCAGTTTCTCACTCCCTTCAGTGTATGCCATATATTTCCTTTACTATTTTATTTTTATTTTTTTAAATATATTTTATTGATTTTTTACATAGAGGAAGGGAGAGG